CAGCCTAATGGGAACTCCCTTGTAGGTAACTAGCTGCCTTTCTCTTGCTGCTTTTAAGATTCTCTCTTTGTCTTGAACCTTTTGCATTTTGATGATGATGTGTCTTGGTGTGGGCCTCTTGGGGTTCATCTTGTTTGAGACTCTCTGTGCTTCCTGGACTTGTATGTCTGTTTCCTTCACCAAGTTAGGAAAGTTTTCTGCCATTATTGTTTCAAACAGGTTTTCGATTTCTTGTTCTCGCTCTTCTCCTTCTGGCACCCCCAAGATGTGAATGTTGGCAAGCTTGAAGTTGCACCAGAGGCTCCTTCCACTATCCTCATTTTTTTGGATTCTTTTTTCTTTTTGCTGTTCTGATTGAGCATTTTTTGCTTCCTTATATTCCAAATCGATGGTTTGCTCCTTGGATTTACGTACTCTATTATTGAAGCTGTGTAAATTATTCTTTATTTCAGTTAATGCCTCCTTCAATTCTAACTGTGTATCCATGATTTCTAACTGGTCCTTTTTTATGCTCTTGAGGCCCTCCCTAAGTTCACTGAGGTTCTCACTAAGTTCATTGAGCATCTTTATAAGCAGTATTTTGAACTCAGTATCTGTTAGGTTGCTTATCTCCCTTTTGCTTAGTTCTTTTATTGGGGTTTTGTTCTGTTCTTTCATTTGGGACCTGTTTCTTTGCCTCCTCATTTTGGCTGCCTCTCTGTGTTTGTTTCAGTGTATTACTTAACGAGAGGTATGGGGCTAGCTGAGACCAGATGCTGCTTGTTTGAAAGAATTTAGGAAAACCTGAAGCAGGATCCAAGACAGGCCAATCCTATGGTCAAGCAACTGGCAACAGTTTGGGTGGGCCTGAAAGTTGGGTGGGGTGGGGCCGGGCCTCAGGGAGTCAGCAGGGCGGGGCTACCAGTGTGAGCCAGGTTGCTTGAGTCCCAGATATGGCTTCTGTCTGCCACCCCAGGGAAGGGCTCACCAAAGGGACAAAGGCCTCTGACAGCACGTTTGTCCCGGAGAAAGCCCCCTCTCCAGCCCTCGCTCCAGTGCCAAACAGCTCAGTTCTTCCCTGTATGTCTCTGGTGCCCCTCGAGGTGCCTCCCCTCCAAGCTTAGAGGGAGAGAGTCCGACAAGTCCGTGTGCGGGCCCTTTAGGGAGCTGCCTGGGGCTCCAGCCGCTTCAGCTTCCCTGAGCCTCAGTTCCCGCTGGTTTTTTCCAGCCAGAAGTTATGGGGACTTCTCTTCCTGGCACTGGAACCCTGGGCGGGGCACCTGGTGTGGGACGGGGACCCCTCAGTCCTCAGGGAGGACCTTTCCAGCCACAGGAGCCTCCTGATTTTTATCCGCCACACGTGGGTGTGGGACCAGCCCGTTGCTCCGCCTCCGCCGCCCCTCCTAACAGTCTTGATGCGGCTGCTGCTTTAATTCTGTAGTTGTACGACTTCCCTTCAGCTTGATTTCAGGCGGTTTTGAATGATGATGGTTCTGTAGTTTAGTTGTAACTTTGATGTGGTTGTGGGAGGACACGATACCGCGTTTACCTACATGTCCTCATTTTTTAAAAACTCTTTTTTTTCTTACTGCTGTTCTGATTGGGTGTTTTTTGCCTTCTTATATTCCAAGTTGCTGATTTGATTCTCAGCTACATCTACTCTACTTTTGATTCCCCTGTAAGTTATTCTTCACTTCAGTTAGTGTATTCTTCATTTCTGACTGCTTTTCTTTTTATGATTTCTATGTCCTTTTTCATGCTACTGAAGTTCTCACTAAATTCCTTAAATATCCTTATAACAGTTGTTTTGAACTCTGTGTCAGATAGTTTTCTTGCCTCCATTTCATTTAGTTCTTTTTCTGGAGATCCTTCTCTCCCTCCCTTCTCCCTTTGTTACTGTCTTTTTCTCTTACCTTTCTGGATTCCTCATTCCTCAAATGTGCCATTTAGTTTTTTGTTTTTTGTTTTGATTCATCATCACCTGAGAATATTTTTTACATTGATTTTTTGTGTGTGTATGTGTGTGTGTGTTTGTGTTTTTAGAGAGAGTGGAAGGGAGGGAGGGAGAGAGGGAGGGGTAGAGAGAGAGAATAGGAGAAATGATGTGAAAGAGACATAATCGTTTTGTTGCCTCCTACACATGTCCCATCTGGGGCTGGGGATTGAACCTGCAACCCAGGTATGTGCTCTTGACGGGGAATCAAACCCATGACCCTTCAATTCGTGGGCTGATGCTCACAAATTCGTGGTTACACTGAGCAGTGCTGGCCAGGTCATGCCATTCAGTTTGGACCATAACATTTTTTTTTCCTTGACACTTCATACCCTCAGTCTTTTTTTTTGTTGTTGTTAATCCTCACTTAAGGATATTTTTTTTGTTGATTTTTAGAGTGGAAAGTGGGGGGGGGGTGGTGGTGTTGCATCTTTGTTAGAGAGACACATGCCCCCGGACTTGGGCTGAGATTGAACCTGAAACCCAGGTACGTGACCTTGACTGGTAATTGAACCCATGACTCTTCAGTGTGTTGGCCAGTGCTCTAAGCACTGAGCCATACTGGCCAGGGCTTTTCTATTTCATTTGGGACCTTTTTCTTTGTCTTTGCATTTGGCTGCTTTATATTTGTTTCTATGTATTACATAGAGCTATTGTGTCTCCTGGACTTGGTAGAATGGTCTTGTGGAGTAGATGTCCTATAGGGCCCAGTGACGCAGCCTCCCCAGTCACCTGAGCTTGGTGCTCCAAGCGTGCCCCTGTGTGGGCTGTGTGCACTGTCCCTTTTTAGTTGAGCCTTGATTGTTGTTGGTGTTACTGAGAGGGATTGATCCCTAGGCTGATTGTCTGTGAGGACCAGCTGTGACTACAGCAGAGGAGCTGCTGTGCAGGAGTCAACCCTTCAGAGCAGGACTTGCTTCAGCGGGGCTTTGGTGCTCACCAGGCCCACCCTTGAGTGTGTCACTCCTGGAGGTGGTAGGGTTGTAATTGTCATGGTCTGAAACTGTCCACCAGGTGCATTGGCTCTTAGGCCTTCTGGGAGGTTCAACGTCAGCTACTGCCTGTGCCTTTCCTGGGCCCACCCAGCATGAGCTACAAAGCCATCTGCAGATGGCTGCTACTTGTACTGGACTTGGAAGTGCCCAGGAGAGGCCAAGCTGAGAACCAAGTCTGGCTGCCGCTAGGGCAACTTAGCAAGAGGTATGAGATATGCAGAGGCCAGATGCTACTTGTTTGAGAGATTTTAGGAAAGTCTGAAGCAAGAGAGGACATTTGTATTGAAAACCCACTGGAAATGGCTTGGGTGGGCTCCCAAGTTGGGTGGGGCGGAGTCTGAGGGAAGCATCAGGATTGGGCAAACTGTGCGCCAGGTTGATGGCAACTCAGATATGGTACCTGCCTGCCAGTTCTGTGGGATGTAGGGGAGGAGTCTCAGGAAAGGAATGGTGGCCTCTGCCATCACTTTAGTCTGGGAGAAAGCTGCCCACCTCCAGCTCTTGCCCCTATGCCAGGCAATTCAAGTCACTGCCCCAGTACTGGAAGTCAGAAGGAGTGAGTCCAAGTAAGCCTGCGCGGGCCCTTTAAGAAGAACTGCCTGGGACTCTAGCAGCTCTCCGTCTCTTAGCCATAGACCCTGCTGGTTTTTATAGTCAGAAGTTATGGGGACTTCTTTTCCTGGCACCTGACCCTGAGCTTGGGGAACTGGCATGGGGCTAGGACCCCTCTCTTCTCTGGGGGGAACTCCACAGCCAAGATAATCCTTCTGATTTTGAACCACCACAGATGGGTGTGGGACCAGCTCGTCCATCCTCATTTCTGCCCCTCCTACCCTCCTGCCAGTCTCAAGTTGGCCTCTTCTTTAATTCCCTAGTTGTAGGATTTCCATTCAATTAGATTTCAGGCAGTTCTGAATGATGATTGTTCTGTAATTTAGTTGTAATTTTGATGTGGTTGTGGGAGAATTCGAGTACCGCATTTACCTACCCTGCCATCTTGACTGGAAGTCCTGTGATGTTTTAAATTACAGAGTAAATATTACTTTTACTATTCTTTTTATTTCCATATACATTTATAACTGTCATTATACATTTTTGATAATGTTTATAACTTTTTTAATAAATAATTTAAAGATCACAGGACAATTGTAATTTTCTTTTTGAGTATTAAGATTATGTTGCATGGTTTAGCTTGTACAATCAGTTTTACGGTCTCCCAGTACTGTGCAAAGTGAGGATTATCTGTATTAACACAGGGAGTACCTTTTTTAAGTAATGGTTAATTTTGAGTTGAAATTATTCATAGCACATCTGCTTTTATATAACTTAAATATATTCTGCTATCAAACTTAATATGTAAATATACTTACTTTAATGAAAATACTTTGAAATAATTTATAGCATGTATTAATAATCCAAGGGGTTTTACTCCTTAGAATCTATGCTGTGATGGTCTATTTTTATTTCTTAATTTAGATGGTGTTTATTTTAGTTGTGTGTGTATGTAGGTTGTAATATAAAATGAGGTTCATTTTGTTTTATGTTTATTAGGAAAATTTTCGAACATACTTAAGAATCGAATAATGTAATGAATCTTCACCTATCCATTATTCAGCTTAAACAATTAACATTCTACTGAGCAGGTATTGTTTCATATATGAGTTCTAGAGCTATAGGTACTTAGAAAATAACAGTATGATGTCTGTAGTAATATAATTTAAATGAAACATTTAATTAAAAAATATTCATATTTCCTTGTGGGTGTATTAATTATATTTTAAACCTATTATATGTTTATTCTAACACCATGTTCTTTATTTACAGAATATTTTCACAAACCACACTCTGGATGTAAATGTAAGGTGGCTTGCTGTGCTGTACTTTAAAAATGGAATTGATCGTTATTGGAGACGTGTAGCACCTCAGTAAGTTTCATCACTCTCCTCCTCCCAGTGTAGTAGACCTTTTCAAATTCAGGGAGGTATTGGAATGTACCTGTTAATCTTCATTTTTTTATGCAAAAGAATAAGTTTGTGCTTAATTCCACAGCCCATATACTAAAATTGGAACAATGCTGAGATGATTAGTATGGTCCCTGTGCTAGGGTGACATGGAAATTTTTGACACTTAAAAGAAAAATATATATATTACTAAAGAAGAAGTGTTCTACATAGTTAATTACAAATCTATATCCGTATTATTGCTTTTTCCATGACTTAAAAAAAAATTTTTTTATTTCAGGTAGGGAGATGTGTGGATTTCTTAATTTCTTGCTTTCAAGGATCTTTGATTTTATGGGCACAAAACAAAGGCTGAGCTGAATGAGTCATGTTTAAAAACTTTTTTTTTAAAAGAAGTGTGCGGTTAGGATTTTGACAAGTCATTGAGAAGGAAATCTCAGGTCATTTCTCAGCCAACTAGATGTTAATTCCAGTGTCTTCTGCATAATTTCCTTTTTGGTGGGATTGGGACAGTATACATTTTTAATCTTATGAGATTCAGTTGCAACTGCTTTGTAGGGGGTTAAGTGAACATATTTTTTTGTTAATCATTACCCGACAGTATTTTTCTCTTGATTTTTAGAGAGAGTGGAAGAGAGGGAGGAGAGAGCGAGAGAAACATCGATGTGAGAGACATATTGATTGGTTGCCTCCCACATGTGCCCCAACATGGGCTGGGGGATCGAACATGCAACCCAGGTACGTGCCCTTGACTGGGAATTGAACACTGAGACCTTTTGGTATGCAGGAAGATGCTCTAGCCGCTGAACAACACAAGCCAGGGCTGAACATACTTCTCTTAATAATTAATTACATGTTATGTAATTGATGGAAAGATAATGCAGACAAGACCCTGGAATTTATTTCCTAGAAAAGAGTGAATGTTGCTGAAGAAGTAACATAGCCTTTATTCTCCAGTAGATGGCATTGTATCGCTGATATTTATAAGGCCTTAAAAAGAACTCGTGTGAGTACTTCAAAGTACATATAAAATATGTCCTTGGATAATATTGGAAGCAACTAGAATATTTTAAGGCTGTACTTAAGATACAGTAGTATGAAACAAACCCATCTCTTCTCATAATTTGAGAGATACAGAGTATTTAATGATGAGAAACTGTATTATTGAGTTACTGGAAACAGTGCAGCACAGACTTTTCTACTGCTATGTCCAGTTAACTTTTAGATGTTTCCTAAAGTGGATTTTTTCACTGATATATATGGAGTGTGGTTACAATGAATATAAATAGTCATGTATAATGACTGTAAGGGAGAGTAAATTATGATTAAATTTTTCAGGTTGTACTTTTACATAAATAATTAGAAACGAATTTGCTTTAAATTTAAAAAATTAATGGTGGTTTTATATGGTATTAGGAAGTTAAATCCCAAGCTTAGTATATATTGAGATACAAGCTGGAAAAGAGATGAATGTACTTAGGGAGAAAGGATGTTAAGAATGTACTAATAGCCCTGGCTGGTGTGGCTAAGTTGGTTGGATGTCGTTCCGGTGCATTGAGGGGTTGCTGGTTTGATTCCCAGTCAGAGCACATGCCTGGGTTGCTGGCTTGATCCCTGGTAAGGGCTGTACAGGAGGCAGCTAATCAATGTTACACTCTCACATGGATGTTTCTCTTTCTTCCTCTGCTTTCCTCTCTCTCTCAATATAAAAAATAATTCCAGCCAGTGTGGCTCAATGGATTGAGCATCATCCCATGGACCAAGAGGTCCCAGTTTGATTTCCGGTCAGGGCATATGTCCAGATTGCTTTGCTTGATCCCCAGTAGGGGGCGGGAGGAGGCAACCAATTAGTGTTTCTCTCTCACATCGATGTTTCTATCTCTCCCTTCCTCTCTCTAAAAAAAAATCAATAAAAACATATTTTAAAAAATAATAATAAAATAAAATAAAATAAATTACTGAGAAAGGGAGCAAGGGAACAAAGATTAGCAATGAAACTGATATTCTAATTAACACTTGAAATCTGCTTGTTTGGATTCTTATCTAAGTTTCATGTTATATAGTTCCTACTCTTACCACTATTTTTACAGAATGAGGATTAATTTAAACATATATACAGTGCAACTTTAATTGAGTCCTAATTAATTAGATATTATCCACTTTTTGCTTGAGATAGAGTCTGAATTCATCTAATGATTGCATGTGCATAGAACTAAAGATGGAATGTTAAATATTATTGGAGAATTGCTAAAGTTTCCTTCATGTTAATGGCTTATTTTCTTTAATATGTGTATATTTTTGCATGGTCTCTCTCTTTTCTACCGCCTTCAGTAGCTAATCATTATGTTGTATTCTCTTAATTAAAATTATGAAAACTGTTGAACCTGGCTCCTTGGCTTAGGAGAAAACTTGAATTTCAAGCTTGAAGCAAAATATTATAGCAGAAAACATTTCAGAAGCCAGATAATAGAAAACAGCTATTAAAGTTGGAAAATACAGCAGTTATGAAAGGATTAGAGAGCTCATTTCCAAGGGAAGAGCATAGACTTTCTTCTTTTTTTTTTTATGGTTTGTGCCCCTAGCAGGAACTGAACCCAGACTCTCTGATACGCAGGCCAACGCTCAACCGCTGAGCCAAACTGGCCAGGGCAAGAGCATAGACTTTCATTGGGCTTTGACTCTTCACCCAAATGTTTATCTTAATCTTGTTTTCTTATTAAGTCACTATTAAGGTTTGAAAAACTTTTGTCAAAGTATATAATACAGGGGTTGGCAAAAGTAGGTTTATAGTTTATTCTTGTATTATTATTTATTATTGAATTATTTATTTATATATATATATATATTTTTTTTTATCCTCACCCGAGGACATTTTTTTCCATTTTTTGTTCAGATAGAGTGGGAGGGAGAGAGAGGAAGAGAGAGAGAGAAACATCGATGTGAAAGGGACACATCGAGTGGCTGCCACCCGCACGACCAACCAGGGCCAGGGACAAACTGCAACGGAGGTACATGCCCTTAGCGGGAACCAAACCCGGGTCTCTCAGGACTGCAGGTCGACGCTCTAACCGCTGAGCCAAACTGGCCAGGGCTATTTATATTTTTTTATACAAACAACTGTAAACCTACTTTTACCCTATATATAATAACATACTTAAAAAGTGCTCAAATGACAGGTGCAGTTTGAATGTTTTTAATGTGAACACACCCATTATAGGTACCATTAAGAGCTAGATAGAACATTACTAGCACCCCAGAAACCTCTGCCCTCCCCCTCACACTCACCTATTCCACCCCCATGCCCCCAGGTAAGTACGATGTGACATCTTTCACCATAGGTTAGTTTTACCTGTTTCTGAACTTCATATAAGTGGAAATCATATAGTGTGTTCTCTTTTTGTATCTGGATTTTATTCTGTATTTGTGAGATTTAACCATGTAGTTGCATGGATTTATATGGGAGTACAACATTTCATTTTAGGAACATACCACAATAATCTACTTGTTCTGCTGTTGATGGCATTAAGGTTGTTTCTAGTTATTGACTGTTAAAAATAATGCTTCCTTGAAAACTCTTTTGTATGTCTTGTTGCACATAAATGTGCATTTTATGGTCAGATGTATACTTAACTTTAGTAGATACCGGCAGGTAGTTTTCTAAACAGGTTGTACCAATTTACTGTCCCCCCAGCAGTATATTCATATTGGCATTTACTCCACATTGTTATCAGCACTTAGCCTTTCATTTTAGTCACGCTGGTGTGCTTGGTAATTTTTGTATTTTCCTAATGACGAATGAGTACCTTTTTCATTTGGATGTCTTTTGTGAAGGGCCTGTCATTTGCACATAAAACAGAAAATTGGGTTATCTTACTGATTTCTGGGACTTTGTACATGTTTTGTATATGTCCTTTTTTTTTTTTTTTTTTATCCTCACTGAGGACATTTTTGCATTTATTATCTTCAGATAGAGCAGGAGGGAGAGAGGGAAGAAGAGAGAAATATCAGTGTGAGAGAGACACATCGAGTGATTGCCACCCACATGACCCCAACCGGAGCCGGGGACAAACTGTGAGTGGGGACCGGACCTGGGATTCTGGTCTGCAGGTCGACACTCTAACTGCTGAGCAAAACCGGCCAGGGTTGTATATAAGTCCTTTGTTGACTACATATTGAAAGTGTCTTCTTCCACTTTGCTATTTTACTTTCTCAATGGTGTTTTTGAGGAAGAGAAGCTCTGAATATTAATGAAGTTCAATCTAGCTACGTTTCTTTTATAATTCTTTCGGGGCCTATTTACAAAATTTTTGCTCAACCCAAGGTCATGAAAATATTCTGTGTTTTCTGCTAGAAGCTTTGTTTTATTTTTCACATTTAGGTGTATGATCTATCTGGAAGTGATTTCTGTGTAAGGTTTGTATGTGAAGTAGAGGCAGCACTGTGTATTCTTTCCCTATCACATTTCAGTGGTTCCTTTGTTATAAATCAGGCACTTTATGTGTATGGATCTGTTTCTGATTCTCTGTTTTGTTATACTGGCTTATTTGGTTATCTTTGTTGTAGTTATTGTACAAGATGTTGTATTTTCTGTTACTTTTTTAGATTTAACTTGCTGTTCTTTTTCTAGCTTTTTGAGATGAAAGCTTAGGTAATTGATTTTCAGTTTTTCTTCTTAAATGTGTATTTAAAGCATTGAGGCTTTTCTTATTAATCGTGGCTTTGGTTTAGTTTCACAAGCCTTGATATGTAGTATTTTCATTACTATTCAGTTAGAAAGATTTTAAAATTTCTCCTGCGACTTCTTTTTAGACCCATGGGTCAATTAGAAGTATATAGCCTAATTTCTAAACATGTGAGGCTTTTTAGTTACTGTTTTGTTACTGATTTCATTCTTTAAAATGTGCTGTCTTCTTTTATGATCCCAGCATATGATATAAACATTTTGTGTGCATTTGAAAGGAATGTGGGTTTTGCCATTGTGGATTATAATGTTGTTGTTTTTTTAATATACCTTAGGTCAGATTTATTAATTATGCTATAAGTCTTCTATATCCTTACTGATTTTGTGCTTTTACCATTATTTACTGAGAGGTCTGTGTTTATCTTCAAATATGATTTGGATTCACATATTTCTTTGTTTCATTCTTATTTTTTGCTTTCTATCTATTGAGACTATATT